AATTTCGAGGAAACGGTATAGTTATTCTAGGCGAATCGGCTCATGCTACACCTTTGATGATCGTGATTGTGGGTTTTGAAAGCCGATCGCAGAGGTGCCGATAATTGTCCGCTTTGATTGCTCTTCTTCGCTTTGAAACTTCAAAGGAATTCCGATTCCCATTGATTTCACTCATTATTTCATATTATCGAGCCGCATTGGTGATACAATTTACCTGCAATTCCGAAAATTTAATTGCCAAATTCTTGTTCAACGTGTATTTTTGATAGCAATCTTTTCTTAGTAATGATAGTACCTCTGAATTACAGTGCGATCATTTTATCGTGACTTATGATAGATAGATTGACTGGGATAGGTCGACGTATCTCCTGATATTTCCATCTTCTCTATTAGACGGTACAAATACGATTTTGCAACGACTACATTATTTTCTTGATAAATATCGCAAGGAACAGCGTGGCATAAATGGATCTTGTCGGCTGACATGTTTGTTCTACTGTCATTCGCGACAGATTAATTAATCGAATATGAAACTACTATTTTACATAGCTCACAATACAACAGTTATTGTTTTTAAGCTGCTCGTAACCTACGCAGAACTAAAAAAACTTCAATAGCCATATAACGAACAGAACTTTCCGGTAGACCTAGTTGATTGAACAAACTTGTGTCGTACATTTTGCTCAACAAACTAGTTTTCGACGTAGAAATAAGATTACGTCAGATAATTGTATAGTTGGTTTAACTTAATCTTCTAATCTCTATTTAACACTTCGCTGACCGAGACTAATGATCAAACTTCGATACATTGATCACGGTAAAAAAAGTCTATCGAATGTTTGAACCTTTTAATTGAATATCAATAAATAAGTTGGCTATTGTTTAATTAACTAACAAAAATTCGACTTTGCATTTCTCTGGGGTTTCAAATAAATTCAATCTTTAAATTATTTAAATGAAAATAAAATTTATTAAAACTGTACAATCTAATAAACTTCTCAACATTATTTATATTTCTTTAATTACTTTACTTATATAATTATCAAAATATTGCCACAATAATGAATTTTCAAGGAAGCTTCGTAAACTAAAATTTATATATAACAGAAAAATTGTGTATCGGGTCGGAAGTGTTAAATATTCATAGTTCCTCTAGTTCAGAGGTCCAATTCAAAGAATCTCCAAATCTATCATCATCAGCCGTCATATGTAGCTTCCAGTTTCACCCTGGTGTCCCCATCCGGTAGAAGAGTGCGTAAGAAGTCGCTTAAGAAAAGAAAGGGTTGCTCGTCGCCTCGGTGTGAAAGGACAATGGCGAGAGCAGACGGGCAGGGATCTTTGAAAATAAAAAAAACTCTCATAAAAGGGATTAAACGTCGCACGGGACTCGAGTTTAATGGCGCGTAAAGGTTCGACGAGCCCCTTGGATACGTGGAACTCGCGTGGTATGGGGACGAGTCGAATGATGACAGGAGGGTTGCCTACTCCCCTGACCCCTGTTCTCCCCTCCGGTGTTCGTTGCCGTTCTCCGGTGCACGCTCGAGCAGTCGAGGCGGTCTCTGTAAGCTGATATTTGGAGCAGGTCGATCGACTTCATTAACGAGCGAGTGCCGGGCAAATATTGACTCTGGCCCGTGGAAACTGGGGTACTAGGTGCACGCGCGTACACACCAGGCGGTTCGTTCCTCTTTCATCTTGGACGAACGCTTTTTATCCGCCCTGGGCCAATGAGACATCGATGAACAGATTATAGACTCGGGTCTTGTTGCTCCTCTACAGCCTGCACGCTTGGCCCTCGGCTCTTCTTCGGATATTTTTGCATATCAGTGCGAAGGGACGCTTCTCAGCTGGTTTATCTGATTCTTCGTGCTCGTGATAAGCGTCTCGTTCGAAACGGAACTCGCTACCGCCTGATCTTCCCAACCTCTGGAATTCGGTTACCGGTAAAAGATTTTCTGGGATAAAACGATGCTTTTGGAATTTCTACAACCCAGAGAAACAACGGAGCAGGGTTTCCCTGAAATACTTTAATAATTGACGTTGTTTTTAATTACAGCTATAATTGCCATAATTTTCGCGAATTTTCTGAGACACTTTAGGGCAGTGAAAGATCAATCTATCGGTGCGAGGCAGACCAGCCTTGGCCCGAATTAACCTTCGTGGGATAGCGTCGATATCGATCGTCGCAGACGCGTGTAGATCCTTTGTAAAATCAATAGGCTCGGCTACTTAAATGGTACCGTTCGCTGCTTATGGCCACGGATACGGTTACGAAGGTTGAATCGATGCGCTCCGTGATTTACTGTTTATCGCGGGAGCACTGTTAATCAACGTCGGGCTGCGTGCACGGCCGATCTAGCTTCGAATATTCTTCGCGTGGTCGCGCATCGATGGAAACAACGTCCCGATATTAGCTCCGCGCCCCGTTTTTGCACCGCTTAACCTTTCCCTCATCGAGATCCTCGTTCACCGGCCACGCTGCTGCGAGCGGAAACCTCCGCACCGCTCGAGCATTCTCACGCGGCTCTACGATTTGCTTCTGGTACGTTTACGATCCAATAATACAACCAGTAATATTCGAATAATTAAGCTAGATTAACTAAGCGAATTAACCGAGGTAAAATAGTCAGAGTTTCAGTATGTCTGACCATACTTGTCCATTTCTACTGCGGCAGTCAACGACTGGTATCACGATTTTAATATAATTAAATCTATCCTAATATCACAAATCTTTTCTAAATTCGATCCTAACAACATCTTTGTATGTAAATTCATTTCAAACTTGATATTTTTCACTTGAATCCATCCTAATATCACCAATCTTTATTAAGACCTATTGGAATATCTATGTTTATTAAATTCATTTTGAACTTAGCCTTCTTATTTAAGTGGAAGAATTTTTCTTACAATAGTAATGCAAGGTAGAGTAGGAAAAATTCAAATTGAAAAAATGAAACAATTTTCATAAAAGTGTGTCGTACTTCACACTGACCTACTCTACTGTGAAAGGTAACATTAATTTGTTACATAATCGAATAAAAAATCATCTGGTTAGAGGGCAGAAAATCCGAGAGGAAACGGGGCGAGTAGGTCATTGTCGTGGGCACGGTGGAAAAAAGAAAAGGAACGAGGAAGAAAAAGGTAAAAAAGTAACTATACTCGAAGTCCGTTTCTCCGCGGAGAAAAGAGAGGATGGTCTCGGCTCATCAGCAAGAGGAATGAAAGAAAGAGCGGGCGTCAAACAACTGCGTCGAGAAAAAACTTGGAAACCTTAACGAACCTGCGAGTCGACTTCTCTTTTACTCTCTCCGTCTGCCGTTCCCTCTGGCTCGTCTTCTGCCATTTCTCTGTCCCTCGGTCTCTCGGTTAATACGAGAGGCTACCGTTTGCGGGTGCCAGCTCGTTTCCATTGGAAGAACAATTGCAAAGGGACGATTAGAAGGGCCGAGTGTCGCGGCTTGACTCTAATTACAGTCGCTTTGAATTCTCGTTCAGACACTCGCGATCCTTGTAAAAACTCGTCTTTGTAGAGATTACCATTCTTTTCGAAGGATCGTCATTACGATTCAAAGCCTTTCTTCTGTTCTTCGTACTGTTTGAAAAATACAGCGATATTTGTAGCAGTTCGCAATGTTGCGACTTCTGAAAGGGTTGCAAAGTGTTTCCCGAAGAATTCTTAACGTTATTTTTATTAAAAATTTTGTCACGTCAAATTCTTTCAAATTTTTCTATCGTACAAGGATAATTAAAATCGTACTTGAAAGCCGACAGACGAAGGACTGTAATTACTGAATATAACGAACGGCCGAACCTACTTTGTGGAAACTTGAATTCAACGTAAACAGTGATTACTCGATTGCGGCTGAATTTTAACCAGAAGCTTCAATTATGTAATTAAATATCCTTTTCGGTTCGAGCAGAATTCGATTGAAAAACGCTCGGTTCTGCGCAAGGTCCGAGCCGGCCATCTTTGGCCAGATAAACGTAGGCGACATTAGAGGAAGCCAGGTGCGCTCGAGGTCCCTCGGAGCTTCCCTTATCGGATCATCTATGGTCTAATTTTATTCCAGTTTACCCGACCATCGCCCTGACACCACGACCTACGACAGATGCCTTTTACCGAGATACCACTGATTTATGACGCTGAGGACAGAGAAAACTTCGCCTTGATTCAACAGGGATAAGCTGACTATCCCTTCGATCCATTCTTTGGCAAATCATGTTGGGTTACTATGAACCCTTTAGATATTTGGCCAAAAATAGAAAACCAATAGCAAGAATTGTGGATGTTGAATTATTATTTGTCTTTGAAGCATCAAAATAAATAATAATTACAGAAGCAACACCGTAAAGGGACGATTAATTAACCCTTTGAGGACGGAGCATTCTTAAGCTCGCAGACAATTAATTTAAAGAAGTAACGCCTATATTATAAATCTTTACTGTCAACAGTTGAATATAATGCAATATACGGAATTATAAATTACTATAACAATTATGTTTGGATCCACATTCCTCGATTGTTCGCAAAGGGTTAACACGTTAATAAAAAGAGAATCATGTATATCCTATGTTTTCATGGCATACAGAATCAATAGAGAAAATAATTGGTTGTTGTGAACTGCACTCGAAGCAATGTCAAAGATCACGTCGACGAGAGCAATGCGAGAATACGATGAGGATGGAAGAAAATCGATCGTCGAGAGTGGTTGCACGACGAACGCCTGAAGCATTAGCGCAGGATGAATCGTGTCAGGGGCGATAATGGTCGTAAAGAAAGCAGGAGAATAATTTTTCAAGCTCCTCTTCCCGGTAATCCAAATAGCGTTCGAACGTCCGTAAGATATTGTGAGAGGAATAAAAATCGAAACGAACGTGGAGAACCGGTTCGTCACCGCCTACCCTTGAACGCCAGTCCCGTTTCTTATCTTGCCAAGGATGAATCGGGCTAAACTGACCCACCAATTATCCTTCGAATAACGCTATTTCTATAATTGCAGATGAACCAACAGTGCAAGGTCTGCGGCGAACCGGCGGCTGGTTTTCATTTCGGAGCGTTCACGTGCGAGGGTTGCAAGGTAAGGATCTATTTAATTAATTTTTCCTGAAACACTTTAATCAGTTGATTGTTGATGACAAAAGATAGAATGTATCATGCTGGCAACTATTTTTGCGGCCTTCGTATTTTTAATAACTGCACTATTCTGTGTAAAGGGGGATGCAAACAATTATATTTTTATAATAAAATTTTTAATCAGAGTCAGAAATTTAATTGCTAATTTATTATTTTCTCACAGAGTTAACTTTGTCGCGTGCTTCGTATTAATTTAAAAAATCCCAATAACAATATTAAAATTTTCCAAAATGGTCAAAAAATGTGCGCATACAAACAGACATATGGTGTCGTGTAATTAGAGAATAAAAGTAATTTGAATGTAATGAGACATAATCGCGACACAGGCATCCACTCGTTGAAATCAGCGACCGTAGATCGAAGCAGCTGCGATCTACGCTTTTCAATATTACCTCAGAGACGAGGCACCTTGTCGTATCCACTCTAGTTTAGAACAGGGGGGACGTTTAATAAGCCGTGCCGAATCGCGAAAAGGAACAACAGGCACGTATACGTCGAGCTATCGACGAAGAAGGTGAGAAAGTCCGATCCCGATAGACGCGAGAGCGGGATGTTCGATGAAAAAACGTTCGGCCGTCTCGAATCCGTAAGTGGTCGAGAGAATCGAGCGCGTCGAATCGATTATCTCAGATCGTCTTCCTTCGGGAACGGTTCCACGGGAGACGCGATTGTTTCAGAAACCATGACACACGATACGGACCAATCACGTTTCCCTATTATACTTCGGAATCGATAATCAAACGCTTCGTTTCTTTTTCCATCGTTTCGATAATTAATTTAATGTGTAACGCTCGATGGCGCCGTTAAGAGATTGAAAAAAACCCTAATGCGCTTGAGAGATCGAGGCAGTTAGCCCATAACGACACTATTAGGGTATGCAAATTAGATTATAACGATAGGAAAAAGAAGGAAACGAAGGAACGACGACACGACGCTATTAAAATATCTCAACTTCCACTCGAGCAGCAATCGGAATACTCAAAAAACATTTTTGTTCGTCATTAGTAAACAGCGAAAGTAACGAAGTGGTTCGACCGGCATCGAGTAACTTTTGAGAAATTCCTCTTTCGTTCGAAGGCTCAGGTGGTGACATCGAAGCCGTCAAGCGTTCTCGCTCAAAGTCTCCCGGCAATCGTAGCATCGATCTTGAGCCGTATTTCACGAGCGGTAAGCGGACTCGTCCGAAACCCAGATCTAACCCTCGAAATCGCAAAAATCCTCCCCCTCGTACGGTCGTACGACAAGCGGGTACGTTCAGTTGTCAGGTAGCCGCGGGATGCAGCAAAGCGGGATACCGCGCGCTTTCATCGCGATGTCCTTCGTGGGTAGCCGTGTGCGCCGGCAGCGATCGATAAGGACGGAAATAATATTCAATCGGCGGATTCCGCGACGCACGTGCTCGCGGGAACGCGAACGACAAGACGACCGATCGAGTCTCGTTAGAGGTACGAGGCCGTAGGGTGTTGACCCTTGCTCTTGTCTCTCGTCCCACTAATGTGGTGCACCGTGGAATATCGGTACCGCATACTAAGTGACCCATCCGATAGTAATTGGACCTCATTAAGGCAACAACAGGCCACGGCTGTCCTCTGTTTCCTAGCGGCGCACCGCGCCGGTTGTGCGTTCCCTTCCCTTTACCGAAGACCGAGCCAACAGATAACGCGTTTTAGGTAAATTAGACACTCTCTCTCTACGGGACTAGGATCGAACAGAGCTGCTGGAAAATACGGCCACCGCGCGATACGGATTTATGTGTGGATCCCTATCGTTGCTTACCTTCGAAAGCGGCCTCGTCTCCACGATCGGCATTTTCTCCTCGTTTTCTCTATGTATGCGTCGAGTGCTTGTAGGTGAACCCCTTTAACGGAGATCCATTGCGCTCCGTTTCGTCTTGGATACATTTACGATAAGCACTCGACGTTTACGTGTTTATTAACGCTTTCTTGATCGAGCGAAGCATGAAATTGGAGTGTCTAGCTGGTAAAATCGGTCTTACAACATTCTTTGATCTTTACGTCAGTTGATGAATCTATCGAATTCTTTCAAATCTCTCTGATCTAATTTCTAATTTTTTATATTCAAGATGGTATCGTCAATTTTGAGATACTCTTCTTGAATTTCGAACGATCCCACGATGATTCAGAGAAGTTTCTACTCTGATTTTTCCATAACGAGCGAGTTACCGTTAGCGAATCTGTTTTTTCTTGCTCCTGATCCAGCATCCATCAAACGGTTCGTACCCTGGAGCGAGGCAAACCCTGGCTCGATTGGCGCGCGAAAATTTCTCATACGAATTGAATGTTTAATTAATGATCACGGATCGCCGACGCGGGATCGCAATGAAAGACGATACGCCGGGCCGGGGAATTAATATTATCATCGTGCCGTGGTACGTTGGTCGCTGGCGTAACCGTGTATATACCATCGTACCTCGAGAGAGCCCGGAACGTTGCTCTCACGGCGTTTTCGATGTTATCGCGGGATATATAACGGCGCCATCGGGCCCTGATATCGAGAGCCGCACGAAAGTCCAGAGGTGAGAATTAAAGGCATTCGACTTGGCGACCGCTCTTTCGCATACGATTCTAAGCGCCTCGAAGATTGTCCGATTCTTTTATTCTTCTTGGAGACTTCGTCGAAGGCAACCAGTCGAAACGAGATTTGTTTTTTTCAAAGACATCTTTGAATTCAACTGTTATTAAAAACAGCGGATTATTAATTGGAAATTTAATTGCTATGGATTTCACAATTCACAATTAAAAGGTTACATAAAATATAAATACTTTGTGCCAAATTTTGGTTACCTTTACGGGAATAAAAATGGGCGGTTCGTTGTGGTTTTGTAAGCAAAAACAATCGAGTGAAAGTAGAAGTTTCTAATTTATACTTTGTTTCGACTTTGAATCAAGGGTACATTCTCACGGAGTTAGGGCCTCGTTGAGTAGGGAAGGGAAAGAGAAAGAGACTCGGAGGTTCGGGAAATATTTGAAATAATTTACCAGTCCGCGCATTACGGGAGCGAGCTGAGAAACGAGGGACACTCATTAGCATACTAACGACTGCCTCGAATTCCCCGCGTTACATCGGAGAAGAGCACTACCTCTCCCTCTTGTCCCCCTTCTTCGTTCGGACTTCTTCCATTTTTGGTTGCACCGCGTCCTACGGATGTACGTGAAAGACAACGTATGATCCCGTTCTCATGCTCGACAGTAGAGACCGATTGATAATCCAAGAAAATGAAAATTTTCCTCCTGTACAGAGAATGTTCCGCATTTTAAACATAAATAGCGTCGAGGCAGTAATATTCGTAATTAAAATGTTCCCCTTCGAAACAGAGTAAATTAAAATTCCAATATTTCTAATAATTCCATGCTCTATTTATGTGAAAAATATTAAATAAGATGATACCATCGAGCTCTACCAAGAGAAACCAAAGAATTCCACGAAGAGGTGAGTCCAAGGTCTCCTAAAATCTCCACAAATAGAATCCGAGCAGACTCTAATCCATTGGTCGAGTTCTGCCGTCCAGTTTAGCGGCTCGTGGTATCGTGTGGCGTTCGAATACCACGTTCGTTTGAAAATAAAGATAAAGGTAAAAAGGAGGAACGTCTCTCGGTCAGCCGAAGGCCGATCGAGCGGATCCAGAGTGCAGCCTGCTGGGCGTTCGCGTATGAATATTAACGCGCGGGTGACCTGGCCCCGGCCCCGGCCCCACAGCCCCGGGTCCCTGCTGCACCAATTTGCAAGCCTCGACACGCTCGTTAGCGTGTGTGTCGTTAGCTGGAAGAGGAGGAGAATTCGGGGATATTCGCGACGCGTTGCGATGCAAATCCGACCCGGAGGACCATTGTTTCGCGACGATTATGCGCGACCGACATCGCGAAAAACTTTTCGTCGCCTTGCCTTGCACCGCCGAGAAGAGGCGAGTGATTCACGCGAGGATCATTTGCGTTATTCATCGAGAGACAAGCGATTTCGAGGAGAAACGACGCTTCTTTTCGCCGCGTCGAGTCGACCCCTTTTCATTCGAACCGTGTCGAGAATGGCCTCAGCCTGGAATCCGAGGCACTTCCGGTGGAAGGATCCGAAAAGGCACTTAGCTGACACGAGTGGCGGATTTTCCGGCCGGACGAGCTCGCTTACAACAGGACAACGTCATTTAGCGCTGTTACACGCTTTTATAAAAGAAGATAAAAAGCTGACTACTTTTACATTTCCACGAGGAAACTATTCCTTTTTTCTTGCGGTTCCATTTGAAGCAAGATTATGGGGCTTTTGATCTTAAACAAATAGAGAAAATTTTCTCAGAAGAATTTTCAAAAAGGAAAGCTGATTTAAGCTTTCGCGAGGAATTGGACGGAAGAGAAAAGGAATCAATTGGCGTGCGCGTTGTCGGCAATTCATTTGGCCGCGGCGGTTGTTTCGCAAACGCGTCGACGATACAATTGCAAAGACTCGACGCGGGTAACATCGAAAGTCCCGGCGTTCCAGCCTTTGCGTAACCGTGCTCCGAGTTGGCGCGGAATCGTTACGATTTGCGACGCGAGCGGAACGAAAGGAACGACCGATTCTCAACGGTCGCGGTTGCTCGGATAAAATACGGGACGTGACAGTTCTGTCTAAGGGACTCGAGTCGAGTCGATATATTCTGTTGCCGATGCAGGTACTGGACACTCCGAGCGAATCAATATAAAAGCAGTGGGGCAAGAAAACTAACCGGTCGACTAATCTGTCGATCGTGACGGGAAACGCTAATCGCTCCTCGCGAAATCCACGGCTGCCAAGGAAATCGACCGACTAAACGGTTTCCCTGAACGGTTTCTGGTGCTGTGCCATATCGCTCTGGCAACCGTCTCGTTTCAACTCGCTGTCGCTTTTATTTCGTTCCTCGTCGCTGTCCGAACGAAGAAGAAGCCTTCTACTAGTATTTGCGTGAACGCGTGC